TCTCCCCGGGAGTGGGGAGCGGAGACGTAGGACGGAAGGTCCGAACTCCGTGATCATATCGTGTGTTTGAGTTTGCTTTGACGCACTTAATCTTATGTTTATATTTCTTGTCTCCATTGTCCATAGCTCATTATTTATATCATCCACTATCTAGTTCATTTTGTTTACTCTTGTATTAGTTTATATATCCTTGCATATATATATTTCATCATATAGGATATATCCCATTGTTTACATTGCTTATCCTAGCTCATATATCTTGTTGTATTTCATACTTGCTAGGATAACTTAGTAATTAGTTTTTAATTGGCATAAAATCGGATTAGATTAGCATAAGACCCTAATCACCCCCCTCTAGGGTCTAACACTTCTAACCCTAGATTACAAGAATATTGGCTCTCTCCCCTCTACTTAGTTTTTCCTCCAATAATAGAATAATATACATAGGAAAACCAAAACCTTACGCCTAGCCAAATTTTCTAATTAACATAGGATACAAACTTCTAATCATGATGAGACCCAATCTCCTAATCATGATAGATCTCTAGTCCTATCTAATTCTCATGAAGTTATACAAAGAATCAAAGACATAATCCTAACAGTTCCACTAGTAGAAAACAACACAGTCCAAACGGTCATTGCAACCGTTTGGACAAGTCGAAAAAGCCCAAACGGGTCTAACCGTTTGGGATAATAATCCCAAACGGTGGAAACCGTTTGGGCTGTTAAAAAATCCCAAACGGTTGAACCAAACGGTTACAACCGTTTGGGATATATTAGCCCAAACGGTTTAACCCGTTTGGACGTTTTGTTTAGTTCTTTTAAAAAAATTAAAAGTTTTTTTTTCTCGGTTCCCCCCAAAAATTTCATCCCAGCACGTAAAATTCTTCCCCAAAAATTTCAAGACCGAACCCTTTAAAATCCCTAACCTCCTCGTCCAACCGCGTCGAAAATTCCTCATCTGACCCCGTCGAACTCCGACCGCAACGATCAAGGCCATCGATAGGC